TTATGTTGCAGCTTTACTGGAAATGGAAACATTTTCCCTTCTTATCTGGCTGAAATTTCTTTTTTTAACAGAAAGGCCTGTAATTGTCCACCCCGCCCCCCGCCACTGGTCATACCACTTTTATTTACATTGTATCTATGTTACATTATTTATTCAATATAGAAAAAATATTAATAATTCATAGTATTCTCTTTTAATTTGGTAATTCCACATTATCAAATATTGACTATTTTCGTATTGGGTGTCCTACCCAATTAAAAGAAAGAATGGACTTAGCAAACAATTCTAATTTCATCATTATATTTATATAATAAGTATTACCTTATTTGTCTCTTTTTTAAAAACAATCTAATTTTGAAAAGACATGATTAAACTATTGCTTACTGGCTTAGGGAAATATTTTTTAAAAAAAGAATTTTTAAAAAAAATCTTTTCTAATTGTCAGTGGACCTTTATTTTATTCATTTATATGTGGTGCTAGACTTGAACCCAGTGCCTCACACATACTAGGCAAGCACGCTACCACTTAACCACAACCCCAGCCCTAAAAAAGAAGTTAATTCATTCTTTCCACAAGGAAATTTTTAAGGTAAACATCTGAAATGCCTCAGTGACCAAGGAGAATATATTCCTTATAAATGGGTCATATTAAAAGAAACCAAGTGGTAGACCCCACTGCACAATGGTTCTGTACATACAAAACAGAAATGGGGACTATACTGACATAATTATGCTGCCCAAAAAGTCTACGCTGAGAAGTCAGGTTTCTTTTAAAAATCCATTTTACAAATAAAATCCGTGATTAACTGTTTTGGACATAATACTTTCATTAAATGGGTCAAACTCACAAATCATTGCTACAAAATACAGTATTTTCCATCACTTTTAGTTGTTATGTATACTATGTGCAGAAAGACAATAGTTACCTTATACTAAATATAGACGAACAAATAGTGTGTTGAAAACCAGAATCAGGACACATAAATAGTGCAGAAAATGCAAACGCCAAAAACACAACACCTCCTATGATCATCACAGTTCTGTCAGAGATTTTTTGTGTTATCATTCCTTCCTCCAATTACTGCCAATCCAGTGTATAAGCAGTGTCCCATTGTTCCACCCACCACTACACCCTAGGGATCCTCTCTAGCTGCCAGAACAATTGTAGTGAGATGAGAGCGATCTCCCCATTCTGCTAAGGATGTTAGTATAAGAGCTTGAACAAAAATGGGTGAAATAAAATGCAGCCACGTTTTCTGAGGTATTGTTGTGCTTGTACCCGTTTCAACATCTCCTGATCCATTTAAGAGTTTGGTTCATTGAAATCCTTCATCCTTCTTCTTTAGTTCTGCTTGAACTTCTTCCAGTTCCTCTTGGCCTGCATCTGGGCTTATCTTTAAGCCTTCCCGAAGCATTCTAATGCCAAAAATGGCAAATAATGCAGTTAAGACATAATATCTGTACACCCTGGGGATGGTGGTGGTGGCATAGCCAAAGAGAACTGATAAGCAAGTCATCAGGGCCAAGCATAGCCCAGCCAACACTGTCAATCAGTTATAGCGCATCGCCATGATGGTGGCTATGAAAAATGTCTTATCACCCAATTCAGACACAATGATGACTGATATGGCAGCAACAAATGCATGAATAAATCCCAAATTATTTTGGGTAGCTGACTCTTCATTATTTGTATGAACTGGGGCTGCTGGAGTACATCCTTTCTTGGCCCCTGCACACCAGCAGGCTGTGGCTTCAGTTGCTGGGCAGCTACCAGCGGTTCCTTGTTCTGGTGGTTAAGGTCTTTGTCTGGTCCAGCGCAGATCCTGACTTCGAACAACAGCGAAGAACCCAGCAGGAGCAGAAGCAGCCAGGTGCCATCTCACCTAGCCAGCCGCCCACATACCTATACCTTTTTTTTTTCCCAAAGCAAAAAATTTCATTAGTAAACACCAACTAAAAATGATATATTATGGAATAATATAATAGTACAATGACGTACGGAATGTTGAGTACTCAACTGACAACCTTCAATTTTGTCATGTTAAAGTAAAAAGACCCTATTATCATTACTTTATAAAAGAAAAGAAATAATGCAAAAAATCATGATGTACATAATCTCAAGGATAGTGCTTTTCAAGAAAGGCTATATGGGGGCTGGGGATGTGGCTCAAGTGGTAGCGCACTTGCCTGGCATGCGTGCGGCCCGGGTTCGATCCTCAGCACCACATACAAACCAAGATGTTGTGTCCCCAAAAAAATAAATATTAAAATTCTCTCTCTCTCTCTCTTTAAAAAAAAAAGAAAAAGAAAAAGAAAGGCTATATGGGTAGTCTTGCTGGTCATTATCCATATTTTACTCATTTTTGTTTAGATAAATAAAAATTTTGTCAAAGATTAACATAAATCTGTTGACCAGAATTTGGGAACCACTGTTTTAGAATTTCAAAACACTTAACCTTAAATCTCATATTTAAAGGAGTTTATAAATTGTAATACCAGCTGGTTTAGGTGTATTGGTCGTGCCGACTGTGCCCCTTAGCCCTTACCCTTCCATCTGCATGTCTCCTGCTGTGGCCCAGGCTCTTGTCAGCTTACTAGCTCTTGCTCCATCTTTTCAATAGCCTCCTAACCCCCTTTTCTTCTTCACCACCACCACAGTGATCTTCTAATGCAAGAATTTTGACACTCTCCATTGCTATAAATTACTGAATTGATACACAAAGTGATACCAACAAGGAAAGACTTTATCACTAGTCACATTCTACTAATGCTCAGAAGGCAGGTTGGCCAGAATAACAGATTTTTTCAAAGCTGGCTCCCAGGAAGATAGAAGAGACATTTTCTTTCTCAAATCTCCATCTTCAAGTGTTCAGGGGCATAGTAGGTTTTATGAGAGTAGAGGGGGCACAATGGGACAAAAAGCAGGGAATAAACATATATAGATTTAGCTATGTTGTGGTAATCAGAAGCATGTCACAATCTGTTTCCCCAGTGCCCATCTGGGCCATGGGGCAGCCCCTCAGCTTCCATCCTTGGTATGAGAAGTTCAGGAACTAAAACAATTCTAAGCTTGCATTTATCTATTTAGGTACTAGAGATTGAACCCAGGGGCATTTTATCACTGAGTTACATCTCCAGTCCTTGTTTTTTATTTTGAGACAGGGTCTTGCTAAGTTGCTGAGGCTGGCCTCAAACTTGTGATCCTCGTGCCTCAGCCTCCTGAATCTGATATTATAGGCATGTACCACCACACTTGGCCAATTCTGAGCTTTTGATTTCAGCCAAATTTTAAAAATTGTGGGCTGTTTCAAAAGTATTTCACAGTCTGGCCTCACCAGACGATAAACCACTTCCTATGAATCCTGTACTCTATACTCTGTTAAATGGCTTAAGTAAGACAGAAGTTTATTTCTCTTCATGTAAAAGAAGTCTGGAGGAAGGTACTCTAAATATAGTATAGTAATAGCGTGGTGTTTTCAGGGACTGACTCCTTTCGTCCTTCTGCTTCACCATCCTAGCTCACAGTGTTTTCCCTGAAGTTTTCTTTGTGATCCAGGATGGGTGATAGAGCTTCAAACATGACATAGCAGAAAGGAGGAAAGGAAAACGTGCAAAAGGGTACCTTTTTTTAGCCATGCCAGTTCCCTTTATGCATCCTTTCCAGAGTCCCACATAATAATTCTGCTATATCTGACTGCATCTAGCTGCGAGGTAGCTGGGAAGTGTAGTCTTTGAGGGTATATTGCCTGCTTGAATTAAATTAGGATTAATTAGATTTTACCAGGAAAAGAAGGAAATAATGGATATTGAGGGGTATGTAGATCCTCTGCCACATGTATGTAGTTTTTATGAAATTACTGTACACATTTTGTAATCTTTTTTATGCTTAACATTTTATTGTGCACATTTTCCATTTTCTTCAACATTAAAAACTTCATTGGGGGCTGGGATTGTGGCTCAGTGGTGGAGCACTCGCCTAGCATGGGCGGGACCCGGGTTCAATCCTCAGGACCACATAAAAAATAAAGTCATTGTGTTGTGTCCATCTACACCTAAAAAATAAATATTAAAAAAAAGTATTTTTTTTAAAAAAAACTTCATAGTAATCCATTCACGAAAAAAACATAATTAAGCAACCCATTTTAAATCCTCTATTTTGAAACAATTGGGGCTAGTTTTGATTTGGGGCAATTATAAACGAGTCAGTGATAATTTTTTTAAACTTGGGAATGAACCCAGGGCCTTCAGCGTGCTAAGCATGCACTCTACCACTATGTCACACCTCCAACCCCTCTGTGATGATAGTTCTTATAGCTAAATCTTATAATTCATGTCCTTAAATGATATCCCTACAAATGAAACCATTGAATCAAAGAGTATGTTATTTTAAGATTTCTAAAATATGATTCCAAAATGTCTTCCAAAAGATAGCCTTGTTGAAAAATGTTATAGGTTTCTTCTTTTTCCCATTTAAAAAGAAATACTTAGGACACAAAAAAGAATCTATAGAGAGTAACAAAGAGTATAAATTGGGTGTATTTACTATTTGGTTAAACTGAACCATTTTCAAAAATTATATTGTGCACATGCTTAAATAAATGAGTCATCACCTATTTACTGAGTGTTTGAATATGAATGGAAATTTAAATATTATTAAGATCCTTGCCTTTAATGAGCATGCGTTTTTGAGCAGTGATGAGATTATTGAAATAGGCATGTTTTAAGGTACCTCTGGAAGTTTTGTTAAAAACTTATAGCTATAGCTATTTGAATCTGAGAAGATAGCAAGCCATATTAGATAGTGTGCAGTGCTCCTAAGCAGAATAGGTCTGTGGACATTATATAATCTTCCTGTTCTTTGAATTAATAAATTTAAGATTAAGAATAGTCCAGGAAGGGGTTCCCCAGAGCAAGGGGGTTTGAACTAAAAGACATGTGACTTATTGTGAGAAATGTTTATATTGTACATAACTAATATTTGTCTTTTCCCCTATTCCCAGATTTGGCATAAGAGGAAAGAAGTTACATTTTTCACCTTCTTATGCTCAAAAAGTATCTTCCATTGCCAGATCCCCTGGTTTGTGTGCTGTGGAAAGAGAAGACGACTGTATAATCTTCTCAGAAGGAATAATTGAGGAATACCTAGCTTTCGACCATACAGATATGTGAGTTTTGTTTAAGCAATTTTTTTTTAAATATGTTTTTTTTTAGTTGTAGATGGACACAATGTCTCCATTTTTATTTGTTTATTTTTATGTGGTGCTGGGGACCAAACCAGGGGCTCACGCATGGGAGGCAAGCGCTCTACCACTGAGCTACAACCCCAGCCCTTGTTTAAGCTTCTTTACTCCCCTTCTAGTTTGTGTATTAATATCTATTTGTTCTAAACTGAGAATAACAATATTACCTATAATTAGCTCTATACCAGTGTGTGGTTTGTCGGTTAGCTCAAGTATCCAGACTTCATGTTCTTAGCTATTGCTTCCACATACTAGGCTTCCTTGGTATTTTCTTTCTTCACATATCATTGCCTTTTCCTGCGATCAGAGACCTTATTTTTTAATTTATTTTATTTTGTTGCAGTACTGATGATTGAAACCAGGGCTTTACACATGCTATGTGTGTTAGTGAGCTTTTCATCAGCATGTCCAAAATACCTGTTGGGAACAACTTAGAGGAGGAAAGATTTATTTTGGCTCATGGTTTCAGAGATCTTAGCTCATGGTTGGCGAGCTCCATTGCTTTGGGCTTGAGACAAAGCAGAACATCATAGCAGAAGGACAGCAGAGGAACACTGTTCACTCATAGCAGCTGGGAAACAGAGAAGAAAAGACCAGCAGTGAGACACAGTCCCCCAAGAGCACATCCCCAGCAACCTAATTCATCCAACCACACCCACCACTAGTCCCTTCAGCTATCAGTGGATTAATCCACTGATGAGAGCTGAACCTTCATGATCTAATCACTTCCCAAAAGCCATACCTCTAAACATTGCTGCATGGGGGACCATTCCTTAAACACCTGAGACTTTGAGGGACATTCCAGATTCAAACCATAACACTAGACAAATGCTCTACCACTGAGCTACATTCCCAACTCTTTTAAAAAAATTCTTTGTTCTTTTTAGTTATACATGAGAATAGAATATATTGACATATTAGACATACAGGAAATATAACTTCCCATTCTTGTGGTTGTACATGATGTGGAGTTACACTGGTCGTGTATTCATATATGAACATAGGAAATTTATGTCCAATGCATTCTACTGTCTTTCCTATTCCCACTTCTTCTCCCTTCCCTTCATTCCCCTTTGTCTAATCCAATGAACTTCTGTTTTTCCCTCCTGCCCTGTTAGCATCCATATATAAGAGAGAACATTGGCCTTTAGTTTTTTGTTTTTTTTTTTTTTTTTTCCAGTTTTTGGCAGACACAACATCTTTGTTTGTATGTGGTGCTGAGGATCGAACCCGGGCCGCACGCATGCCAGGCGAGCGCGCCACCGCTCGAGCCACATCCCCAGCCCAGCCTTTAGTTGTTTTGATTGACTTATTTCGCTTAGCATGATAGTGTCTAGTTCTATCCACTTACTGTCAAATGTCATAATTTCATTCTTCTTTATGGCTGAGTAATATTCCATTGTGTATATGTATACCACATTTTCTTTATCCATTTTCATCTGTTGAAGGTCCCAACTCTTTCTATTTTGACATAAGGTCTTGCTACATTGCCTTGGCTGGCCTCAAACTTGTGATCATTCTGCCTCTGCATCTTTCTATAGTTTCCTATTTAATTTTTGAGAGTTATGCTGCCTCAGGATAACCTCCATTGTAAAGGCCTGGAGATAGTTCTCCCAATCCCAAGCCAGTTCCAGAATTTGCTTTGCCTTCATTTATAATTTATCTCTGTGTGATAGACAAACATGTCTAATTTGGGAGACATGACTAATTGGGAATTTCTGGGTCACAAGTACAAGAGTCTCCAGAAGAGCCTTAGAGGAGCTTCTATGCATTTAGCTCCCCTCCTTTTTAGTGGGGAAGGTTGGAGGTTTTACCAAAAAAAAAAAAAAAAGGAAATGTAGTCTTCCCTGTTGAGAACTCCATTAGTTCACAAGGCTGCTTTAATACTGTGTGCTACATACACTGGGCAAGGAGGAGGGTAGGATAGTATCACCAGTCACATTCCTAAGAAGCATAAAGGACAATGGTGGACACTCAGTGAAGAGTAATCATCAATTTTTTTCATCTTGCTTCCATTCCAGGAAAGAGGGATTTCATGAAAATAAATCAGAAGCAGCTACAAAGAAACAGAAATTAGGGTACCCTCCCATTGCTCCATTTTACTGCATAAAAGAGGACATTCTTGCTTATGTGTTTGACAACGTGTGGAGCAAAATTGTGAGCTGTATGGAGCAATTGACACGTAGTCACTGGGAGGGATTTGCTTCTGGTAAGAATCTTTGTGAAAACATTGTCAAAAATAATTGTTTATGATTTCTGAAGCCTAACCAGTCCATTAGATTTATGCTTTATTGTGAAAAGGGGATGTACGAGAGAGAGGAAAACCAGTGTCTTTTCCTACTTTCACACACTGCAACAGTTATGACACCTAATATATAAAGGGTTTTCCACAAATACCCACCAGATTCTCTAGCAGATACCACCTGGGGAGGTCCTATGATTCAGACCAATATTGATACTATCAACATGGAGCTAACATCAGATCCTACAGGGTAAGAGGCTCAGTTCCACAAGACTGCCCCACTTCAGATCACAGTTGCAAGCCTTAGGTTGTGACCTGGGCTTCTGACCAACCAAATATAAATCAAGATTCCTGTGACACATGCCCTGATCCCCCACAGGTTTGATTAATTTGCTGGGATGGTTCACAGAACTCAGGAAAAGAGTTATTTATGTTTACTAGTTTATTATAAAGAATATTACAAGGATACAGATGAATAGCCAGATGAAGAGATACACAGGGCAAAGTATGGGAGAAGGGGTGCAGAGGTCCCATGGCTTCTCTGGACACTCCACCTTCTAGGTTTCTCCACATGTTCAGCAATCTGGAAGTTCTCTGAACCAGTCCTTTTGGGTTTTTATGGGTGCTTCATTACATAGACAGGATTGAGTAATTCAGTGGCCACTGATGATCATCTCAACCTTCAGCTCCTCTGCCCTCCAGAGGTCAGAAGGATGAGGCAAGACTGAAAGTTTGAAGGCTTCTAATCACTTGGTTGTTTCCCCCAGGCAGTCAGCAACACCATCCTTAGACTATCCAGGATCCAGGATATTGCTTTGGAGATGCCAAGGGTTTTAGGAATTATGTGCCAGATCTCAGGGAAGATACCAAATATATTTTTATTATTATATAACAGTATCATAGTGGGTCTGATTCATGTTTATATATCCCATAGAAACTAGCCAATATTTTGAAAATATTTGAGAATGGGTAGATGAACAGTAAGGATTAGTCTATAACACTCAGACAGCTTGTTTCTCCTTGAATATAATGATTGGTGAGGAAAAACCACATGCAAGTAGCACATACTTTTTCAGACTGCTTGACTAAAAAGTAATTGCCATATAACCAACTGCATGTATTTAAAACACAATTTGAGGGCTGGGGTTGTAACTCAGTGGTAGAGCACTTGCCTCACATGTGTGAGGCACTGGGTTCAATTCTCAGCACCATGTATAAATAAATAAATAAAATAAAGGTCCATCAACAACTAGAAAAAATAAAATAAAACATACAATTTGATAAGTTCTATCTATAAACACATGAAACCATCACCACAGTCAATTATAGAGAATATATCCATCAACCCTAGAAGTTCATGTGCTCTATAATCTCTCCTCCTGAGGTTGTGTGCCCCACACCATCCCCAAGAAATCATTATGTTGAGAGAAAGCAGCCAGCCAAAGAGTGGTCTGCTTTCTATCACCATAGATTAGTTTGTATTTTGTGGAGTTCCTATGAATAGAGTCTGATAGGATGTACTATTTTTGTCCTGCATTTCACTCAGCATAATGATTTTGAGATTCCTTCATTTCATTGTGTATATAATTTATTCCTTTTATTGTTGAGTAGTATTTAGTTGTACCAGTTTGTTTATCCATTCATCTACCAATGGACATTTGGATTGTGTTCTACTTTGAGCTATTCTATGTGAAGCTGTTATGAACAGTTCTATAGAATAATTCAGTGGCATATATTTCCATTTCTCTTAGGTAAATTCCTAGTACTAGAAATGGCTGAGTTACATGGTTAAATATATATATTTAACTTGGGAATTATTTATATGGGCTCTTCTGTGCTGCTCAGTAAATTATTGCAAACTTAATAGCTTTTAACAACATACATTTATATCATATTTGTAAGTCAGAAGTCTAGAACAGCTCAGCTAGTCCTTTGCATAGGGTTCATAAGGCTGTGATCAATCTATTGACCAGAGCTGGGTTCTCATGTATAGGCTCAACTAGGAAAATACCCACTTTTGTGTGTTCTTAGAGCATGCAGGTCTGTGGCTATGGTATTCATGGCAGCTTTTTTTTTTTTTTTCCCCCAAAACTAGCAAGGCCAGCCTTTTTTCCCCAAAACTAGCAAGGCCAACATATCTAATAAGAATTTAAGAAAATAATTCATGTGCAATAGCATCAAAAAGAATAAGATATTTATAAATAAACTTAACCAAGGAAGTGCAAGAGTTTTATACTGAAAACTATAAAACACTATAGAAAAAAAAAAAAAAAATAGAGGAGACCTAAAGACTTGGAAATACATCTTGTGTTCATGGACTGGAAAAGGTAACATTATTAAGATGACAGTACTCCCCATATACATCTTACAGGTTTAGTGCAATACCTGTCAAGTATCCAACTATCTGGTCTGGGGATGTAGCACAGTTGTGGAGCATTGCCTAGCATGTGAAAGGCTCTGGGCTTAATCTCCAGCACCATAGGAAATGAAGGGAAGCTGAGGCAGCCTCAGAAACTTATTGAGGCCCTATCTCAAAATAAAAAAAATAAAAAGGGTTCTGGGATGTAGCTCAGTAGTAGAGTGTCCCTAAGTTCAATCCCTAGTACCACAAAAAAAAAAAAAAAAAGAAAGAAAAAGGAAAAAGAAATTTAAAACTTTCCGTATCAAAACATATTATGAAGGAAGCCAAAAACAACCCACAAAATGGGAAAAATATTTACAAATCATTACCTGACAAAGGTCTAGTAACCAGAGCAGATAAAGAACTGTAATTTAATAATAAAAAGGACAAACAACCCAATTTTAAAAATGGGCAAATAACTTGAGTAGGTATTTCTCCAAAGATAATATATAGTCAATAAGCACATAAAAAGATCCTGTTTCTCATTAGGCACTAGGAATCTACAAATCAAAACCACATTGAGATCCCACTATGATGGATAGGTATGTATATATTATATATTATATGTAATATATATATATGATTTGTATTTATATAACATTTTTTATAATTTTTTTAAGTTGTGGCAGGCCACAATACCTTTGTTTTATTTATTTATTTTTATGTGGTTCTGAGGATCAAACCCAGTGCCTCACACATACAAGGCAAGAACTCCACCACTGAGCTACAACCCCATAACATTTTTTTTTTTTTTTAAAGGAAAGTAACAAATAGTGAGGATTAGCAGAAATTAGAACCCTTGTATACTGATGGGAATGTGAAATGGTGCAGTCATTGTGGAAGGTTTGGCAGTTCCTCAAAATATTAAATATAAAATTACCATATGACCCAGAAAATTTCACTCCTAAATATGTAGCCAAGAGAACTGAAAACATATGTCCTCAAAAAACTTGTCCATGAATGTTCATAGCAGTATTATTAATAATAGCCAAAAGTGGAAACAACTCAAAGGTCTATCAATTAATGAATGTGTAAACAAAATTTAGTAGATATTTAATTATGAACTGAATTATTTCCCCCCTTAAAATTATGTTGAAGCCCTAACCCTCAATGTGATTGTATTTGGGAACAAGACCTTTAGGAAGCTAATTATGATTAAGTAAGGCCTTCTTTTCCTTAATAGAAAAGCCACAGTGAACTCTCCATGTACACATAGCAAAAAGGTAGCCAAGAAGGATGTCCTTACCAGACCAGCCCTGATGGCATCTTGATCTTGGTCTCCAGACTGTGTGAAAATAAAATGTCTATTGTGTAAAACACCTGATCTGTACAATTTCATTCTGGTAGCCCTTGCTGACCAATACACCATGCAATGGGAATATTATTCAGCCATTAAAAGGAATTAAGTTTAAAAAAAAAAAAAGGAATTAAGTACTGAATACATGTTACAACCTGGATGAATCTTGTCATAACCTCACTCCCACCCCATTTGCAAATTTTAGGATTTTCTCTTATCAAATTGCTGATATGATGTAACTTGATGTAGTTTTCCTGATGTTTCTCCTGCTTAGAATTTGTTTAACTTCCAGAATCTATGGATTTATTGTTTGGAAAGTTTTCCACCATTATTTCTTCAGATACTTTGTCACCCATCATTTATTAGGAAGCCAGTTACTCACAAATTAGTCTATTTGATCATTAATCTCTCAGATAAATGATGCTTTAAAAAACATTTTTTTGGTATTGTTTTTTCTCTGTTTTTCATTTTTGGTGATTTTTACTGTTGTACCTTCATGTACATTCATCTTTTCTTCTGCAATGTTAAATTTACTATGAAACTCATCCAGTTTCTCATCCAGTTTCATCTCAGACATTGTCATTTTCATCTCAAGGTATGATTTGGCTGATTTAATATCTTCCATATTTCTATTTATTTTTTTGAAAATGTGGCATAATTTAGACATCTACGTTAATTTGATTTTGGTTTTACTTATTTATATTATCTCTTCATTACCTTTCCTGCCTGGTAATCCTTAAGTTTCAGGCATTGTGAGTTTCTTATTTCTTACCCATTTTTATTCCTAAAGATCTTCTTGAGATTTGTTCTGGAATACAGTTAAAGTTACTTAGAAACCATGTGATTCCTTCTGGTCTTGCTTTCTAGATTTTTTATTTTTTAGTTGTTGATGGACCTTTATTTTATTTAATAGTATGTGGTGCTGAGAAATCGAACCCAGTGCCTCACACATAGGCAAGCACTCTACCACTGAGCCACAACCCCAGCCCCTGGTCTTGCTTTTATACTCAACAGATCTTACTCTTAGTGCCTCATAAATCATGAGTTTCTTCTTGTCTAACTGATGGGAGTAGGCACTATTCCTGGTTCCATGTGAGCAGCAGGTACTATTCTCTTTCAGTTGGTTCTTTTTCCTCTGGTAGTTTTTCCTCACACATGCACTAATCAGTACAGTTTGAGTACTCAAAGGATGTACCACTTTCTCCCAAATAGCTTCGGTTTTTATCCATTTTTCATTTCTCTGGGTCTCTGTCCTGTGAATCCTAACTGCCTTCCTCTCTCTGGACTCTCTGCTCAGGGTCCACCACTCTGCCTTAGTTCTCCCTCCTTGTGCCATATCTTAGAAACTTGTTTCAGGCAATTATAGGACATATCTCATTTGTTTCTCATCTCAGGGCTCATTTTCTTTTATAACCTGTTGTTTGGTGTCTTAAAGCCATTGGTTTACTGTTGTATTGGCTGTTTTAGGCAGTAAAATAGTCCCTTTTGCACCCCCCCACCCCTTCTTTACTTTTCCTTTTGCAGTGTGCCACAAGCATCGCCAGCATGAACAACCACTTAAAACTGAACTCTTGGTTTGAAGGTTTGTTTTTTTTTTATAAACTATACAGGTGGTATGAAATTGGTCTACGGAGATGAGTGAAGCCTTGCTTGAGATTAGGAATTATCAGGGAAGATGTTTTTCATACTGTTGCTGTGGATCAGAAGATACCTATGGATAACAGAAGTCTGTTTCTTTGTTCAGATGATGAGAGTAATGTTGCAGTCACCAGACCAGATTCAGAAAGTCCCTGTGTGCTGAGTGAACCACATACTTTGGTGTTACCTCAAGTGCCACAGTCCAAGGTGCTGTCTGTCACCTCAAATCTGGTAAGCCCCACAAGCGATGTGTCAGGGAGCCTTGGACTGTTCTCTTTAGAGGAAATTTACCCAGAATTGTTTAATTGTATTATTTATGAGTCCGTCATATTTTTCAGTACAATTGTGTTTATCATAAAAACCCAGTGACTCTTTGCATTGATCAGCTTCAGTTTAAAAAATTAGTTGCAAATTAGAATTGATAAGTAATTCTCTTTTTTGAAGAGACATCCATTAGGTATACAATCTAGAATCAACCATGTGGTCAGCTTTCGTCTAGGTTGATTGGGCATCCTTAACCTGCTGTCACTTAGGAATGGACAAGAAAGAAAAGGGCCTTGTCCTCTTGGGAGTACACTTTGGGCCTCAGGGCTACTGACCACAATGTAAAAGTTAAGTCACAGGGAAAATGTATAAATGACCTAATTGGAAATATTTATGTTTGGCAAAGTTGTGAAATCAAGCAGATACCTTCACCAACTGATGAAGAGTAATGTCTTCTTTTGACATGTAGATGAGTCTCTGTCAAGCAAGTGGTCATCAGCCAAATGCGAATGATCTCTTGATTCATGGGATGCCTCTACAGCCAAGAAATCTCTACCAAATTGACAAGCTCCTGTAAGAAGTATAACATTTTAGTAGAATTTAACTAGATCACTGAGAAATAAAGGGAAAGCAAAGTCAGTCAATCAACATGCCTTTTTGAGTACCAATCATAGCGACAACTGGGAGTAACACATCCAAAGCAAAAGATCTCCACTTGCAGGGAGCTGATAAGTAGAAAGCGAAGACACACATGGGTAGAGAGACCTGACCATATAGGGCATTTTGTGATTGAGTGCTACCCAGAATGCATGCTATGGCAGGCCAAAAGGAGAAGGCATTTTGGTGGGTAAGTTTAAGTGGCGGTTTGGATAAGCTGAGAAAAGGAACAAGGCCATTCTAGGCAGAAAGAATAGTGTGGGAAACTTTTGGAGATGGGAAAATGCAAGATATTTAGGAGAGAGAAAAGACCAGTTTTGCTATAGGATAGGAAGAGAGGAGTCAGAATTTTAACACTTCTGATCAAAGACTGACAATCTTCTAGATTTAAAATAGGCCATGGTATGACCAGTGGGCAAGGCTATGAAACTAATGAACCAATTATGGATGTTTTCAAATACCTTGTTTTTGAGATTCATCCATGTTGCACATGACCTCTATTTCCAAATAGTATTCCATTGTAAAAATGTGTCACGAGTACACTCCTGTTACCACTTCATTTGTTTCCAGATTGGGGCTATTACACAAAAGGCATTATAAATATTCTTGCATAGGTCTTTTTTTATGGACTTATGGTCATATTTCTCTTGGGTCAATACCTATAAGTGGAAGGGTGATAGGTGTTAATTGTCATGCTATTTCCCAAAGTAGTTGCAGCATTTTACATTCCTGCCAGTTGTTAGTTTCAGCTAGGGAGCACATATATTTAAATCAGGAATTTGAAGACATTTTATAGCAGTGGAAAACAGATTGGATTGCAGCAGGAAGAAATGAATGGAGTCTATAGTAGGGTGCCAGCATAAACTGTAAGATCCTGTCCTCCTGCTTGAGTGCAGACCAAGAAAGGAATGAACTATTCTAGGAGATACTTAAAAAATGAAAATCTATAGAACTAGAGGAATCAAAATCAGTTGTGAGATTTCAAGCTTAGAAGTTTTATCTGAAAGGATGAATTTCATTTAGGCTGTGAAGTTTACGATGATGGGCCATATCTTAGGAAATGTGAAGAGGTTAGATTTGGACATGAATCTAAGAAAGTCACCTATCTAAAGATGATAATTGAACCCAGAATTATGAACAAGAAATCCACAGAAAATAAAAATTAACACAGTCTAAACATTTTGTAACAAAAAAGCAGTGAGGGCCAGTGATGCATGCCTATAATCCCAGCGGCTAGGGAGCCTGAGGTAGGAGGATCTTAAGTTCAAAGCCAGCCTCAGCAACAGCGAGGTGCTAAGGAACTCAGATCCTGTCTGTAAATAAAATATAAAATAAGGTTGGGGATGTAGCTCAGTGGCCGAGTGCCCCTTAGTTTAATTCCTGGTATGCCCCTCGCTCCCCCAAAAAAGGCATGAGTATGTATTTTTTAAAAAAAAGAAGAATGGTTAAAGACAGGACAACTAGAAAGATCTTTTGAAATCTTCAAGGTTTAGACCTATTCCTCCATGGTCATTCTCCCTTCAAAATCTTCTAAATTCTGAGACATATTTTGCAATAAAGGACAAAAAAATGTGGCCTGAAAGTTTGAGGAACTTGCTGAAAGCCATAGGGACAAGTGGCAGAATTTGGCTCCTTTATTCTTACATTTGCCTTCCATTTCACTGCACTCTTGAATGTCTTACAATAATCAAACTTCCTCTCATCTACTTTAAAACAAAAAGGGAGAATACCCCCAAATCAGTAGGGCAGCATTTAAGCTACTAAACTGTTTAGGCATGATATTTCATTTATCAGAGACCTTTTTTAAAAATATTTTTTAGTTGTAGTTAGACACAATACTTTCATTTTATTTTTATGTGGTGCTGAGGATCGAACCCAGGCCTTGAACGTGCTAGGTGAGCGCTCTACTGCTGAGCCACAACTCCAGGCCCTATCAGAGATCTTAAAGAGCTGTATTTCTCAATTTTTAGAAAATGAGGGTTCACAATTGTCCCCTACCCTTTGCAGCACAAGGCCTAGAACCTTTGCCTGCTCCCAGCTTCCCAAGGACTCCAAATCTCTACCCCTATAGGTTCCAACTAGTTCAGTACTTTAATCTCTGCAGTGAGTGCCACATTGATGCCACAACTGTTCCCAAGCAGTAATATTTGCCTTTCTGCTGACATTCTCACAGCTGAAAAAGGGGAAAAGTCCCCAAATATAGGAGAGAGATTTTTGGAAAGCACTGTGATGGCAGCTGAATAATGTACCTGCTTTCCCAAGTTTCCATTCTAGTAAATTATGAATGAGCTGGGAGAAGTGGTGCACACCTATAATCCCAGCAGCTTGGGAGGCTAAGGCAGGAAGGAGGATCACGAGTTCAAAGCCAGTCTTGGCAAAAGCAAGGTGCTAAGCAACTGAGACCCTCTCTCTAAATAAAATACAAAATAGGGCTGTGGATGTGGCTCAGTGGTCAAGTGCCCCAGAATTCAATCCCCAGTACCCGCCCAGCATCAAAATTATGTTTATAACTGAAATAATGTCATCCTTTTTTTAAACTCTCATGCCTTCATTCTAGATTACCTTCTGGAAACTGTTAACTGAAAGGTTTCTGTTTTGCTCTTTTTCACCCCTGAATGTTTTACACTAAGGCTTAATTAAAAAACAAAACAAACAAAAAACCCTGAGAGACTAGTCTTCCCATACATGGTGATCTTTATTCATTGTGGGTTTCTGATTTGGCCACTAGAGATCTTGATGACAAGCTACTTATGAGGCCTGGGTCCAGTACCATCTTTTCAACCCGAAATTGGCCAAACCGAGCCTTGGAGCTTAGTACATCATGTCTGTCATATAAAGTGCAGTCTGCCAGGAGACGTAATCCCCCACCACGTACCCTTCATCCAATCAGCACAAGCCACTCACGCACCGGAACACCAAGACCTGTGGAAGAAATCCTCAGAGGATCACAAGTGTAGGTTTCAAAAGCAGAATTTCTGGAATCTGTGGTAAAACTAATCAATTTTACATAGAGAATGAAAAGACCAAAATCTGTCCCTAGAAACTATCATTTAGAGTTAAATTTTGATGAAATAGACACTGGATCTTTCTGTTGACTTAGCTAAAAATTTAGAGAATGGGAGATTGGGGGACTCTTTCCCCTGTAATCCCAGCAACTCGGGAGATTGAAGCAGGAGGATCACGAGTTGAAAGCCAGCCTCAGTAACTTAGAGAGATCCTGTCTAAAACCTACAAACTTGGGGATGGGGGTGTGGTTCAGTGGTGCCCCTGGGTCAATCCCCAATACCAAAAAACAAACCCCCAAAAAACAAAATTTTCAAATCTTTGATTTACATTTGTGTAAAGACATGGGCAGAACTTAAAGTTCTAGGCTTTTTTATTTCTCATCAATTTGCTTGTCTCATTAACAACTTTGTGCTTTCGCCTCTTGGTCTTCACTGGTTGGATCTTCAGCCCTTTGGCAGTTGACTCGCTCTCCTCTCCCTCACCAATACCCCTGAGTCGAAATAATCTGCTGCCACCTATTGGCACAAGTGAAGTGGAACACCTGAGCCCTGTGGGGCCACAAAGGCAAATGGTATGACTCTTTCACATTGCCTCTCTGTGTACTGATAAAGCCTCAGGGACAGTAATTCTGCAGGATTTGCGCTGTGGTCTTAATTTATATCATATTCTATCTAATATACAAGCTGAATTCTAATTTATAACAGTGGAATTGAAACTGCTTGGCCCAAAGTTACTACATCTGCCTGGGTTGATGTGGGACATCTGAAGCCCCCACTAGAGTTTTAAGAGTTTCTGTAATTTTTATTTCCTCTGCAGAAACCCCATGGTGATTCCAGTCGAGCCCGAAGTGCAGTGGTGGATGAGCCTAACCATCAGCAGCCTCAAGATAGGCTCCTTTTACTTAACTTCTTCTCCAGGCCCAATACAACTCAGTCATTTATGGTAAAGTGACATGCTTCCTGTTTGCTGATGAGGAAGAAAACTGAGGGGAAAAAAAAATTAGTTTGTCTGACTTACCAAGAACCTAGATATTTCTGAGCACAAGCACAAAACTCCAGTATATACCAGATCAGCCTAACTTCCCTGTCAACCCTGCTTTTGTGGAATTATACCACAAGTGGTATCAGAATGAGGCAGATGTGTCAGGACTTCTTCCCGTTGATATTTTAAATGCTGACATTGCTTTACCATTTACTATATATTTACCACCTCTTTTAAGCAATAACAGAAAACTGATTGTTAGATTGGACAATGTGCACTAATCTTGCCCATTTGCAGGTTGAGAGTGCAATCCCACCTCATCTACTTTGTGGCAAAAGGGCTTGGATAGTCTAGGGAAGTGACTGACATCTCACACATTGTGGGCGTGCCCAATAACCAGGCCCCCACATGATCCTACAACCATAAGCAGCCTCAAGAGAGGCTTTCAGGATGATGATTTGCAACCCACTTAACCCAGCTCATGACCCTTGAACCATAATTAGCCTGAGGCACTGCACAATCTCCCATCTGTTATAGAGTGAGGAGAATAAGCGAGGGTATTTAGGGGGTTGGCAGAGCCCTGCGCCCTTCGAAAGCTCTAGAGAAGAATCCTTCCTTACCTCTTTCTAGCTTCTGGCAATCCTTGGTATTCCTTGGATTGCAGTTTCATTGCTCTGATTTTTGCCTCCATCATTATGTGGCCTTCTCTTCCCTGTGAGTCTGTCCAATTTCTCTCTTAAAGCTACTTGTCATTGAGGGGCTGGGGTTGTGGCTCAGTGGTAGAGTGCTTGCCTGGCATGTGAGAGTTACTGGGTTGGACTCTGAGCACCACATATAAATAAAGGTCCATTGAAAACTAAAAAAAAAAAAAAAAGGAAAAACAAAAAACTATCTGTCCCTGAATTTAGGGCCCATCCTAATCTAGTATTACTCTCTTAATTTGATAAAATCTGCAAAGATCCTATTTCCAAATATGTTCACATTCACAAGTTCCAGGCAGACATTAACTTGAGGAAGACACTATTCAACTTAGTAGACCTCAGGGCTTGCTTTAAGAGAAAACTCGCTGAAAAGAAGGGCAAAAAAGAACTGTGAGCATTTCTTATTCTTAGGGTTTAATGTAGACCCCAGAAAGTCTGAGAATATCTTGGTCTTCTCATAACTTAATCCAGAATATTTTTTAAGCTTATGTTCTAGAGCTATATTCTTTCCTATCAAAATTTAACTTTTCCTCAGGAATAAAATAGAATGAAAACACTTCAGGTCTCTTTTTATAATAGTAACAAAGTAAAAAATTATCTTAGCCATTTCTCTCCCCATTTGCCCTCATAAGAGATGAACCAGTAGCTCATTGTAATTGAAAGACACTATCTGACCTTACAGAACCTTATTGTAGAATATGTGGCTTCACGGGGGAGGGGGATTCCCTAAATCTCCCAATTCAGCTCTCTTGATAGGGAATTGAAGGATGTTTTTTCATTCCAGAAACCCCAGCAGAATGGTATAATTACATCTTGAGATGTAAATTTAAATTCCTTGAGATGTCTGAAATGTTGTTTCCTAAAGCTAAAAAGAAAATGTAAAGTTAAGTTCAGTGTGGTAACTTCATGGGTATTTCAGTATTGCTGAAAAAGTAGATTGTTTTAAGTCAGCATGCAATAGATAAGTCAGATTAAACTCCCTTGAAGCCAATTAAAATATTAAATCATGGGATTTATAATTTAGAGTCATACTAATAAAAGGCACAGAATGTGCAGGGTTTTTTGTTGTTTTTACACATCAATAAATGGCTTGGGATTGCCTAATAGGAATTCAATACAGGTTGGCACATGCCACCTTTTGCATTGGTGTCTATTTCAAGATTTTCCCTTGTAAACCTGCTGCAGTATTATCCTTTGGGAGAAGCTGTATAGTAAGATCTCATCTCTTCTTTTAGCCAGATACACAGTATCATCGTTCATATGCACTTGAGAACCCTCATCAAGCCCGACCCAGTAGGGGATCTGCAGGTATGGTGGGGCTGCAGCTTTTATTTTTGCTACAGTGTGGATGTTACACTTATCTTCCCTTTCTACAGATTTTTTTTGTATTTAGTTTTCCTACATCTTTGTAAATTCCCTTAAAATTCATTTTGGAAGATGGGGTATAATAAAAGTAGTTCAATTGATCAAAGCCAAAAAGTTCCAGATTTCTGTTTTCATATTATGTAAATTAACCTTTCACTACTCTAGTAAACTACTTTCTGTAATCTTTTTAAACCTAAAATGAGTCATTTTCATATCATTCAAAACATTATTAAAGAACACAGCATGAGTTTTATTATGTAGGCAAAAATCCATATTCCTATGGATTAAACTGCTTTGTTTAAAAGTTTACGTATTAGACCAAATTAAGAAATTCTAAAATGTCAGAATATGATGTCTGATTTTATCTCATTAACTCTTTTACCTTAAAATTATACTCTAAATTAAATTATATTAACAAAGGAGTCATGGGAGAAAATTTCAGGATGTCCTTTAATTTCTCATAGGAGTCTTCAGGGTCATTCTCATTGTTATAGTTGAAATTTAGAAGTACTGATCCAAGTTGAAATGTTTCCTGTTAATGATAAATCAGAAAGTAACAATAAAAACTAATCAAGCCATTTTTGTAGTTCAAGTGATTTCTCTCAGCCCAGTTCCTACTAATACCATTGCTTGGTAGTCTTTAAATGCTTTCATTGGACTCCTTCTAAAAAAGCGGTGTTACCCCTGAGCTACAATTATTATATTCAGCCACAGATGTAACTAATATTTTAAAATGGTGAAACATCTTTTTAATCAGTGGGTTCCTAAGCACAAATAGGTGACTGCTTTTATTTCTTTAAAATGCAGGGTTCTTTTTTTTTAAATAGAGTAAAATATTTAAATTTGGATTTATTGGTAAATACATGCTTTACTACTTAGTTCCAGTCTCCAAATTTAAAATCTGATAAGTGGAACAAAAAGCCCTAGGATATAGATTTTCATTACCAAATCTAGACTATTTACTATTGCTCTGTGATGTCATCTGTGTCTGACAGGTCCTCATTTGCATGCCTCTACAAAATCTCAAAGCAGAGGTGGACCAATCTCTAAAACCAGGCAGGGACCATAAGGCAAATGAGAAGAACCTATCAGGCTGCAGCAAACATGTGGGAAGACTTCAAGAATCAGTGTTCGACCATCAAATGATGGAGAGCATGTATATAAGATCAACTAGAATCCATCTTCATGAAGAGTTATTTTGGTAAAACTGACTGAGAAAAACAATAGACTACCCACCAAAAGACTGACTACACGGGTAATGTTTCTATCTCCAATTTTTGTCTTTCAGTGTAAGTTAACCTATTCCACTCAACAGTAAAGACTGTACCCCAAAAATGTAAAAATGAATAATTGCCCCCAAATCACTGCTCATGTTGTCTGTTAAAGATGATTAGTACATTTATAGGATTCTATGAGATTATATATACACAACAATAAGTAGCAAATGATTTGATATTAACAATATCACTGGCTTCAGAATATTTCAGCTTGTATTAATTTCTTGAGAGTTTGTACTCAAGTTTTGTCATTTTTAGGAGATAGTGCTACAAAAAAATCTGAGCTACTCATAAAATAAACATCATTCCTAAAGCTTTCTCATTAGATTTCTAGAGAGAATGAAATGGAAGGGCTGAGTAATTAAAGGCCTCAGCATTGGTATAAAGTAACCCGTATAACCAATTATATCACATATTTTTTCAACCTTGCTTATGTGATGTCAGCTTATGCCAGTTTTCTTCTTAAAGTATTTTACTGGTTCTATTTTTTCCCAAATATTTAACTTATCTTGCAAGCTTTTCTCCTGAAGCTCTAGAAAAGTTATTTTTTAAATAATTTATAGAAATTTTTTTGAACCAACAAAGCACAAATTCCTTAAGAATCTAAGAAACTTGGACTAAGAAATTGACCCAATATAAACATATCCTAACAGCAGAAGAAAAGAACCTTGGCATACTTCAGATTTTACCATGGATGTTTTCCTGAGGGTACTCATGAATACAGCAGTGGTTTTAACTATGGCTTAAATGTATTTAAATTTCACTGAACTTACCTTAATTATCATTACCAGTGTTAGATCTTATTGTTAATTTTCAGAGTGGATAAATTCAAAATCATAATTTGAGGTGACTAATTATATCAACGTAATACTTGAGGACAGATGCTTCAAACAACTTACACTGAATTACATTTTTAATACAATCAAGAGTATTTTTTAACTTGCTTATAATCACAAACTGAAAACTGTCATGTGCTTACTTTTAGATAAATTATTATACATAATGTTCAATAGCAATAGGTTTGTTTTATGCATATGGTATATTGAATATAAAAGTCTACAAATCAGATTTTAAATTGAACAGTCCTTTTTAAAAATCCATCTATTCTAATGAATACATACCACCAACTCATAGAAATATAAGTGAAAATTTGTACTGTTTTCACAAATCAGTCCACTGACTGCCCTGTAACAAATCACTGGATCCATATATGGCTTGCCTTTCAAAGTTAAGAGTCAGAAGGTTATTTAGCCCAATTCCCTCATTCTTGTGTGTTTGTGTCTTCAAACCAGTGCAATTTCCTTTTACTTAAAAAAAAAAAAAAAAAAAAAAAATCCTGTATATATTTAATATATAGAATCTGACAACTTTAGATCTTATTTTTTTACAGAAGAGGGAGCTAAGGACACCAAGCAGCAATCAAAAAGGACTATAACATATATCTCTTTATGCTAGAGAAACCAGGCTTTCTATTGTCATGCTAACTAGGATTATTTTTTTGGCCTCCTCCAAAATACCATATTTTATCTATATCACATTTAAATGATATAGGGGATCATTTAAAAAGCTCCTAAACTAATTTTTTACTTATTTAATCATATATAAGTCTTCCCAAAATGTTTGAAGTAATCTGAGCGCTTGCTTTTTCTATACCTCAGGAATAGGAGTACAAAACCTGCCTCAGGGGGGAAAAAAAAATAGGAGAGAGGGTCTTAATATTGAAGATCATTAAGACCAAAAGCAAACTGGCCAATTATTTGGAAGACAGCTGCTCAGCAAGTAAGTGTTCTTTCTAACTATGTCTAAAAGACAGGCACATCACTGAAAGTACTACATAAAGATCCACATTCTTCCCCCGCCTCTCCAGTGCTGGGGATTAACCCAGCGACGCAAGTGTTATACCACTGACCTATGTCCTTAGCCTTAGACCCACATTCTAGATATGGATGAAGAGCCATAGAAGTACTATCAGAAGTATACCACCCTCCCAACTTCACTATCACATTCCTTCACATGAGGATCTCACAGTGTCAGGTAATTTCTAGGTTACACTAAAAACAGCTTCAATTTCTACTTGGTTTAGTCAATCTAAGTAATTTGGGCTGGAAAGACAACTTCTCTCAAGAGTTAGGTTAACTTTTTCCTTTAAGTGTTGACTACACCTTGCCTCCAGTGGCACTGATGAAAGCTTAAGGATCTTTGAAGAGAAAAATTCCATTATTTCTTTTCTTTCTTGAGAGCTGATCTTTTCCCTCCTCCTTTGGAAGGTTTGCAGTATTTTGCTTCCATCTGAGCCAGAAAATTGTCCATTTCCTTTTGCCGATCCTTTTGTCTACTCTGTTTGAAAAGTTAAAACAAGGCTGTCAAAATGCCACACTATCCAAAGTATTTCATGATTACTAGAAATTGGGGGCAAAAAGGAATGGCAGAACTACATGGGGGTTTGTTTGGGTTTTTTATACCCAGTGCCTCACACATGCTAGGCAAGCACTCTACCACTGAGCCACAACTGCAGCCCCTACAAGGAGTTTCTTTTAGAAAGTGATGAAATGTTCTACCATTAGACAGTGATGGTAAGAGTTATGTCTTAAAAGCAGAAAACAAAATATGATACCACATATATGCTTCTGAAAATTATTTTAAAGATAGGAGTCAGAATTGAACAAATCTGCCAAGTTTACCTGAATGAGTGCTTTCAAGTTATCCACTCCTTCATCAAGCCCCAACTCCTTCCTGCTCATTTCTGCTTCTTTAGCTTCTTCTTGAGCCTGAAGCAGAAACTCTCATGAGACTTCAGGGCAACTAGGAAATGTTTACAGTAACACTTTCTTTCTCAAAAGAAATCCTTGGTGATTTGAGAATTTTATCAACAGATGAGTAAAATTACATAAATGTTATTCACTAGATAACAACAAACACTGGTATCAGGCAAAACATTCTCTAACTCAAAAAAAGCATTTGGTTTTTTCTCATTTCTACTTGCTAGAAGTAGCAAATACCCTGACATCATAAACCACATAGTTATAGAAAGGAAAACATACTTCAGGTGCAATATATCTGTAATCCCAGAGGCTCTGGAGGCTGAGGCAGGAGGATCACAAGTTCAAAGCCAGCCTCAGCAACATAGTGAGACCCTGTCTCAAAATTAAATACAAACGAAAGCCGGGGATGTGGCTCAAGTGGTTAAGCATCCCTGAGTTCAATCCCAGGTACAAAGGAAAACATGCTGGGAGAGCCAGGAAAGGTCACTTAACCAAAGATGTTCTCAAAAGGATGCCAGGCTATAGGTACTTCGGGATTTTCCTCTGGAAGCTCAATTTACTAAATGAGACTAGGGACAGTCTGGTGAACAATTCTAGTTTAAAATGATTTCTCCTGAGCAGTCATAAGAAACATTAACAAATTTAGTTTTGATCTTTATTGATTTCAAAGCTGACTTTATCCAATTTTCCAAAAACACCACAATACCTTAGGCAACTATTAAAATAAATGGTTCCACCCTCTGGTGAACTTTCCAAGTAACAAAGAATGCTGTTAACACTAGGGATGATGTTTAGATTATTATGTCAATAAATATTCCTTGTATTAAAATTCTCTCTTGGCATCCCTCTCACAAGTTTACTGGATAGTCTCTCAAAAACAAAACCATTTTCTGTTTGACTCAGACCCAGCAAATCAGCAAATTAATTCACCCTGATCTACTGGAGGGGCTGTGCTATTTTCCCCTCAAACTCTAGGGATTTTCCTCAAGCTAATGGCCTATTATTGAATACAGGTATACTCAATTTCACCTGGGAAAATGACAAACTGTGAGCCTACTTCTAAGCAGATGTAGCCAATGATGCAAAACAATTATGTTCTTATGCTTTCCACTTCTCTGCCTAGTTCAACAGAAACCGCCCTGGCCTTTTATGTAGACAAAACAGACCCTTTAAATTTGTACCAAAATAAAAAAGGTCAGCTTTCTTCCTGCATGTTATCTTGTTCCTAGAAGCTGCAGAACTTTTCACACACCTGAGTCAGCCACACAAAAAAGAACCTCAAGTACCCACCAATATCTAAAATCTTTAATTGTCTGCTCTCCATGGTGCTACAATTATGAAAGCCAAGCTAAAGAAATGGTTACTTTGATATGAGTCCAAAGTAACTTTTCCAGAAGACCAGAGGCAGACATGGCTACTCTGAATTCACTCTCTCCCTAAACTCCATCTATCCTTAAGCACCTTCTTCTGCTATCATTCCCTGGCCCTACCCCAGTTTAATATGGGTGTAAAGATACTCAGGCCATAATACTTATTGAATAAGTGTTTCTCAAAGGCCATAAAAACACCCTCATCAAAATAAACTATTCATTTGAAAAAAATGTACACTGTGGATCCAACTTAAGAATCAATCCCCCTAAAAGGCTCAAGAACCTGCATTTCTGCATTGTGAGTTCTATTCAAAAATTTGATATACATTAGGTGTACAAATTTATGAGGTAAGCAATCTACTCTGCTCTGTACCCCTCCCCCATTGGGTACTGAAGATTGACCCAGGGACTTACATATGTGAAGTTAAGGTATACTCCTGGCTTTCTTCATTTTGAGGCAGGATTTTACTAAATTGCCCAGACTGGTCTCAAAGTTGTGATCCTCCTGCCTCAGTCTCCTGAGTAACAGGCAGATATACAGCACCCAATTTTTTTTTCTTTTTTTGGTGTGTGTGTGTGTGTGTAATTCTAGGGATCAAGTGCTCCACCATTGAGCTACACCACACCACAACTTGCACTTTTTAACAAGACACAATCTCTTGCATCCTTCTCCTTGTTCATCAACCAAATAAGAACTAGCATCTATGTTACACACCTGGGCTCCATATCACTTCATCTGATAAGTGCTTCAGCAAAGTCATAAGAATTGGCACATATGAAAGATATTTCAGTATTACCCTAAGATGATACTAAACAATTCATGCAATAAAATCATCTTGAGCACCACATACCAAAATAAAGAGGTTTTTCTTGAACTGATATGCTCATATAATTACATGAAAGCTATAGACCAACCTAACCTTAACCCTTGTCCACAGTCTTTATTTCTATTGTTATAAATACTCTCAAATCCTATTTGTAGGAAATTAAGATACAAACCATCAATAGCATTTAAACTCTTACCCTCCTTTTCCTTGCATTCATTTTTTGTTTTGACTCTTTAACAAAGGCATTATAGGATGGGACCTCTTTGGCATCAATAGCTTGCTGAATGATGTTCCTTATCCTGGGTTCCTCTGTGTACTGCACACAAAGCACAGACTCCATGATCTGATCCATGTCGCCCTTGAAGTCCATATAGGCCTGCTTAATATCAGCCAGTTCTTCTTCAGAACCTTTGTAGGTCTTTTCAAAAGCCTGAATGTCCTCTAGAGATATCTGATGATAAGGGAGATGGCTGTAATATCAAGAATCTTACTTTAAATAAAAGGTATACTAGTAAAACTGAAGATTTAAGTGCTTCTTCGCAAACACAGTGTTTTGAGTCAAAATTGTGGCAAGTAACCAAATTTCCCATGCGTAAGATTTTTTCAGAGTTCTCCCTAGTCCATCAGTCACAACTGCTAAACTAGGAACCAGTGAAAAGAAATTTTAAGTGAAGTTTCCAAAAGGATGGGAAGAAAACCATATAAACATATACGCAACTGAATACGTAAGATACATCCTGAACACACACTCCAGTCTTCGCCACACAATCACACTGTATCAGCATGAAATGAAAGGCCTGTTTACTTAAGAGTGTGTGTTGTGTTAAACTCAAAATTCCTCATTTTCTTCAAAATTAACACAAAACTGAAGGCCTCCCATGGCATTTAATGAACGTTTGTTTATTAAATAATGGGAATAATCAAAGAAATCTTCAAAGCCCACCTACCTTTTTAAAGAGTAACCTCCAGTAGGCCTCCCAGTCGCGGTCTTGGTTGAGCACCGTAGAGTCCTCGTCCACTGTTCCCTGCTCATCATACACTGTTCTCTGCTCTTTGTCACTTAGAACCGCATAAACTCTCCCAAGGATCTGAGAGAAAAGAGCATCCAAAACTCACCCGTGCCCTTACCCACACCGCGAAAAATAAAGGTAGAAAACGCCAGGTCAAGATCACGCACCTCCCCTAGGCGGTTCGCAGTGGTTGGAAGCCCAAAAGACTGAATCCCAGCGTAGGCACACGTACCTGGAACCGGAGGGTAGCGTCTTTCTTGTTTCCCTCGTCCACCCGGTCAGGGTGAACCTGCAGGGACACTTTGTGGTAGCCGCGCCGAACCTCGCCGTCTGAGGCCTCGCGCCGTACGCCCAGCACCCGGTAAAGGTCGGTGGTACCGAACACCTGCTCGCATTGCGCCAACAGCCCCATGCTGAGAATCGGAAGGGCTCCGCGAAAGAAGCAAGTCTCCGCGGCACCTGACTTAGTTTGCCTGGCTTCCTTTTCCCGCTCAAAAAGCCCAGGGCGCGTGCGTCACAAAATACGCGGAAGGGGCGGGGCCGCGCCGAGTAGACTCACTTTACGGCCGCTGTAAAGAGGGCGTGGCCAAGTTTTCCCCTGCCTTGGAAAAACCAGACCCGGAAGTGCAACCGGCGTCTGGGTTTTCTAGAGCGAGAGCCCTAACCGTCACGGGTCCGCCACATCCTCTCGAGCCCGCCCTCCTCTTGCTGTGGAACTTTATCTCCTATGTTGCTCCCAGTGTTCCAGCAGGCACTTCTTCACTGATAAGAATATCCGTGTATTAGGTTGTATTTACAAGTCAAAGTTTTTTTTAAATGGTAATTGGTCAATATCGGCATTCAGTAATTTCACATGGCTCAACCTGTTAAGTAAATTTGTATTTTCCCAAATAATTCAGTAGTGTCAGGGTACTTTCAAGCCCTGCAGCAAAAAGATTATTTGAATAAAAGCACAAAACACCAGTCTTAGTATTTTAAAAAACGAAACTCTTTATCTGACAGTACTCATGGACTTAAAAGAAATCAACCCCAATCATCTTCCTGTTCTAGAGTTACCTTATACACTGGAGGAGGTAAGATGACCCAACCTCTCATTTTAGTAAAGACCGAAGCTGCTGAAGCAGAAACTGTTTAATGCTTAGTAAAGTTCACAGCGGAATTTGAGCATATTGGATTTGAGGGGAGAGCAGGGTGGCTGGGGCTATCATCCAATACATGTGTGAAACATAGGCTTGGAGATCCAAAGCAAGACTAAGGCTGGAGAAAATTTTGGAAATCAAGATAAGCCCACACAAGAAATATGTGTATACAGATCTTAGACCAGACAAAGGATAAACCAGAATGGAAAGTGAGTTGAAAGAAACTCAGTGGAGCTCATAATAATAACCCATTTCACATCCAAAACCCCATAATCCTCTGCCAGAAGTTCCTGCAAAGCCTCAAATTTTCCAAGGCACGTTGATCTTTCAAACATCCAGAGTTGCCAGGGTTTTCAAAAGCATTTCTCAGATCCCAGGTCAAATCTACATAAAGTCCATTGCCTGTCTGTCATGTCTTGAAAGTCTTCTCAAAGCAAGTAGAAGCCAAACAAAACAATCCTAGGGGAGTTTCCAAGACTCTAGAATTTGAGATGACCATTAATTGTTCTCAGAATATAGAGCCCAGAGAATACGTTTGAATATTGATAGGGTTTTAGAAACCTTTTAATTTCCTGTATCTCAGTCTCTTTTTTTCTTTTTCTTTCTTTCTTTTTTTTTTTTTTTTTTTGTCTTATCTTGGTGCCAGGGATTGAATTTGAATCCAGGGGTGCTTAGCCACCAAGGCACATCCTCAGCCCCCTCCTTTTTTTTTTTTGAGACAGGGTCTTGTTAAGTTGCTTAGGGCCTAAGTTGCTGAGGTTCGCTTTGAACTTGCAATCTTCCTGCCTCGGCCTCCCAAGCCCCTGGGATTATAGGCATGTGTCAACACACCTGGCTGTATCTTAGTCTTATACCAAAATTTGAAATATATATTATCCAGAAGGCACTAAAACCATGTAATTTATGCTTACAGTTATGGAATTCTGCATCTCTTGGGGGACAGATACTGTGATATTTTGTTTTGGTAATCAATCATTTATGTTACCAGACTCATGACACTTAAACATGATCCTATTACTGAATTTCTAAGTAGACTTTTAAAAGCATCCCATCTTTATTTATTTTTTCCCCTATACATACAACATATGTTGAACAGGACTTTCCAGGTAGGTACATTGGGGTGCTTTACAAAATTAGCTTCCTTCTAATTTCTCATCCTTAAAAGGTAGGCTATTACAGCCCAAAAGCAATTTTCACGATCAATTTGTCTTTGTAAAGTTACAATTACATGATAAGCAAAACAATCTACAATTACAAAAAAAAGAATAAGAGATCTATGTTCTTGTGGGATGATCAAGAATGATTAAGGAAACATTTGGATAGGTCAAGTCACTCTGGTTGGGAGTTTTTGAAGCAGGAAAGTTTTGATCTTCAATTGTAAATTTGCCCAAATGATCCAAGGACAACCCAAAATCCAATCTTTCCCACAGCCACAGTTTTTCCCCAAAATGACATCCCAAAATGCTTAGTATCTAGACCCAGCTCTTATACAAAAACAAATCTCTGGGCTCTGCTTAAGCTAGGCCAGAAGAATATGGTAACTTAGAAAACTCTATTTATTGACCTCCAAACCCAACAAATTTATGAGCTCCACACAAGTGTTTTAGGGGACCTTGACTTTGTAACCACTGTTATATTCACTGAAGTCAACTCGCTTCTGTTTCTATAGCCTCTGTATCTGTTTTCTGTGAAGCTAAGAGAAGTTCACGTGCCCGTTTTCTTCGCAGTCTCTCAGCATTTGTGATCACCATGGGATGCAGAGGGAAAAAGCCAGAAAGACCTAAAAGCAACAGGATATTCATTTATTATAATAGACTACAAGCCAATGTTTCCCTGAGAAGTTTGCCTCACAGAATTGAGGTCTGAGTTCAGACCCAGAGTATGGATGTAAATGCCTCTCACCTACCAAACTTTCTCCTTCCTCTTCCTCCAACCTCCTCCCTCCATTTACTGCAAGGAGTCAGTGGATGATGTCTGTTTCCTAACATTATTCTCCTTACTTGAAAAAAAGGTAAACTAACAGATGGCCATTGGAGATTTGTTATTCCCATTTTTAGCATAAAATCCCAGCCACTTATAAAGGCTTCATAAAGAAGTCCATAAAAGGAATCTCCAGATTCAAAATGACAATTAGATCACAACTTCAGTTTTCACTCCAGTCCTGAGTAGCCTGGAGGGAATGAAAAACATTCTTCAATCTCAGATGATGAGAACTTAGAACTGACTTCAGTGTAAAATCCCCCCAATGAGTTAAGACCAGAGCTGAGTTACCCAGAAGCTTCTCCATAGGCTTAGAGAGGTGGGCTCCACAGCCAATCCAATGCCGGATCCTTTCCAGGTTGAGGGCAACAAGTTTTTCTCCATGACAGTTGGGCAGTGGATCATAAGAGCCCACCTGCTCCACGAAACGGCCATCCCTGGGACATTTGTTGTGAGCAGCCACAATACGGTAAAAGGGCCGATTGGTGCAGCCACTCAGAGCAAGGCGGATGGTTAAATGGCCCCCATGATAGGCCTTGCAGAGGAGGGTAGCTATAGAGAAATAATTGGTTAAGACACAAGATCAGAGAGCACAAAGCAGGCAAAAATGAGATAGTCAGAGGAACAATTCCCTTCTTCCACTCAAATGTCTTCACTCTCAATGTTTTCTAGTTAATGTGGCTTAGATACCATCCTCTTTGTGAAACATCCCTTCACTGCTCCAGCCAGAAATGCTCGCCTCATCCCCAAATCCATTCCGAAAAGGCCTACCATTTACAAACTCTTTGACTTTGTCGTACCCTTAACTGCCTCATCTGTAAAATGAGGCGAGGGTTTCTGGAAGGAAAATCTGAGCAGAGGTTCAACTGTAACGCTGCGTGGCTGATCAAGTGCGCCTAGGAGAGCGCTGCTGCCTCTAGTCCTGGACGCCCCAGCTCCCGCCACCGCCCGGAAGGTCCCGCGGGCCGCGATGACTCACTGAGGTGGACCATGGTGCGGTCCACGTGCGGCTCCTTGGATCGTCCCGCTGCTGATACAGACCCGCAGGTGAAGTCGCAGGGCGACTGAGACTCGGCGCCCGAACGCCGCGGTCCCGGAAGCGGACGTCCCCTCGCCCCGCCTCTTCCGCTCTCCCCCATCTTGTTCCCAGGGTGCTACACCGTGCGGCCTTCGGGGGCGTTCCAGGTGGCGTCTTAGGAGTGGCTGTGTGACCTTCTCTGGGATGAGTGCCCGCTGGAGTGGGGAAAATGCCGGTCACGTTCAGAGGAGGGCTAAGTGCTCCCCAAACCCATACATCCCGCAAACGTGTTTTGAGTACCTAGTGGTGCCGCGGCGCCGTCCTGAGAACCTAAATACAAAAGGGTGCTGTCCTCTCCCCTCAGGGAGCTCTGTCTAGTAGGGAGTCGGTGGGAGCGCACCAGAAAAGGTAAGGGCGGTCTGTACTCCAAGCGGGGGTAAGTAGAGAAAGGGAAGCCGAGAAGGCGACGCCGGGATTTTCTCCGGAGACTTCGCAAAGGGGACAGCTTTTGGGCCGAGACAACGAGTGGTATTACAGATGACTAGAGTTTATCTTTCTGTTTACTAATTTGCCTCTCACTTTTCCTCTCTTTTCCCACTCCCAGAGGCATCACATCATATTAGGAGAACCTTTATTCCTGCTTTTGCTGTACTGTGATCCAAGAAGGCAGAAGTGGAGTATGATTTGTCATCTTAAGTGAAGAGTTTGGCATTTCTTATAGGGTGTTGTCTTCATAGACCTTGTGATTTAGATCCATGAAAATACCCCTGGTTCATTAGGAGTTAGAACCTCAGACTGCAGCAAAGCTTCTTTGTTCATCCTTGTTTCCAAAGGTCCTGGCCACAACTACTATGCTCTTTGCTCTAGTAAGTTGACCCAGCATAGGAGTCTTTTAGGCCCACCTTTGAAGATGATGGCTTAATTCCAAGTTCCAGTACGTGAACCTGGCCATGGACATTGGCAGCTGACTTCCTCCATAGTGACCCCAGAAGCTTTCATCAGAAAACCTAACAGTGACTCCACTGTACCTTAATTTAATTTCTATACATAAATTATATAATGATTTATACATTTATATTATATATATATATACATACTACTTATAGTTTAGTATACCCTACCTCCAGAACCACACTGATGAATTGTCTGTCTCATTTACATTTTTATTATGATCCAGTTTACTATCGATTAGTAAAACATCCAGTAACAGCCAATGGAAATAAATGAATGAGTTTCTCTTCATTGAAAACAAACATTCTTTGGTTCTCCAGCTCTAGGCTTCATATGGTGAAACTTTCTCTGGAAAGGAAAGGAGCTCAGAGTCCCATACAGAAAATTCTTCAGTTTTAAGGATGTCAGAAAGATGGATTTCCGAAGCCAACCATCTCCTGTACTGTGTGGATTTCTGCAAGTAGAGCCTCATCTTTCAGTTTCAGCTACAGGAACAAGGAGGGGAAGTACACAGGTTATATCTGATACACCTAAGTATCTTTGAAGATGACCCCTCATTTATGGGGCCACAGCTAAAGAGCAAAGTCCCCAGGGATGGGATTGGCTTTTCCTATATTTATTTCATGGAAGCTCTATTAAAATACTTTAGAGCATTATTTTGTTTATATGGGTACCTTTACTTTCTCAAAATGCATCAGGGGCTATGAGCTTTCATGATTTGTACATTTTTTGTAAGGTCACTTTATTAAAGTTTATTTTTAAAATTGTTCACATTATTACCAACATCTCTTGGCTAATATGTATATTCCCATCTGGCAATTGACAGGAAGTAATCAGAGATACATGAATCACAGACTTAAATTATATCTGAATTTAATTTTAGAATCTAGGTATGTAGGAAAGCCATCTAGTAACCTGCTGAATAACCTTCTCTTACTGGCAAAATCTTAATTTCTTCCCAGGGCAACAATACTAATCAGTTCAAAAATCACATTCCTGTTTCCTTGGCAGCTGGAGGTAGTCAGATGACTGACTGTGGCCAATGTAAGCTAATGTCATTGGGTGGAATACCTAAACAAGCCCTGGAGGTAAAATAGCTATAGTGTAGGGTTCCTTGTTTCTTTTCTCCCATTAAGCTATATTCTAAAACAGTGGAAAAAAAGATCACCTAGCCAACATGTAGGTTATGGTTAAAAACCTAGCAGCCCCATGATGATGGCAAAGACAGTAAGAAAAATCTCTCTAAAAATATTCACATCATGAAACGCTCTAAAGTCCTGAATTAAATCAGCACCTTTCTCCTTGTTTCCCAACCTCAGCATGGTGCAGGCAAAATGACAGAGGTATATGCATCATACCTTTAGTGTGTACTTGTAAGCCTGCTCTGCTTCCAGTTGCCGTCCAGCCTGAAAAAAGTTCAGCAGCTGGTGATGATGACATGTCATACACATGGTAAGAAAAATACATTTCTCCAAATGTTTCTACCTAACGAGAGGATTATACCTTCCTAGTTAAGAAACTGAATTCAAAGGGGAAGCAGGAAAATAAAAGGTGGTAAGTAAAGGCCAATATTTTTTAAAATCTCTCCTTTAGCCCAGGAATTTTTTATTTTTTATTTTTTATTGTTGGTTGTTCAAAACATTACAAATTTCTTGACATATCATATTCCACACTTTGATTCAAGTGGGTTATGAACTCCCACCTTCACCCCATGCAGATTGCAGAATCACATCAGTTACACATCCATTGATTTACATATTGCCATACTAGTGTCTGTTGTGCTCTGCTGCCTTTCCCATCCTCCACCATCCCCCATCCCCACCTCTCCCCTCCCCTCCCCACCTCTCCCCTCCCCTCCCCTCCTCTCCCCTACCCTCCCCTCCTCTCTCTCTTCCCCCTCCACTGTATAACCCTGAGGGTCTCCTTCCATTTCCAAGCAATTTCCCTTCTCTCTCCCTTTCCCTCCCACCTCTCATCCCTGTTAAATGTTAATCTTCTTCTCATGCTCTTCGTCCCTACTCTGTTCTTAGTTACTCTCCTTATATCAAAGAAAACATTTGGCATTTGTTTTTTAGGGATTGGCTAGCTTCACTTAGCATAATCTGCTCTAATGCCATCCATTTCCCTGCAAATTCTATGATTTTGTCATTTTTTAATGCAGAGTAATACTCCATTGTGTATAAATGCCACATTTTTTTTATCCATTCGTCTATTGAAGGGCATCTAGGTTGGTTCCACAGTCTAGCTATTGTGAATTGTGCTGCTATGAACATCGATGTAGCAGTGTCCCTGTAGCATGCTCTTTTTAGGTCTTTAGGGAATAGACCAAGAAGGGGAATAACTGGGTCAAATGGTGGCTCCATTCCCAGCTTTCCAAGAAATCTCCATACTGCTTTCCAAATTGGCTGCACCAATTTGCAGTCCCACCAGCAATGTACAAGTGTACCCTTTTCCCCACATCCTCGCCAGCACTTGTTGTTGTTTGACTTCCTAATGGCTGCCAATCTTACTGGAGTGAGATGGTATCTTAGGGTGGTTTTGATTTGCATTTCTCTGACAGCTAGAGATGGTGAGCATTTTTTCATGTACTTGTTGATTGACTGTATGTCCTCCTCTGAGAAGTGTCTGTTCAGGTCCTTGGCCCATTTGTTGATTGGGTTGTTTGTTCTCTTATTGTCTAATTTTTTGAATTCTTTGTATACTCTGGATATTAGGGCTCTATCTGAAGTGTAAAGAGTAAAGATTTGTTCCCAGGGTGTAGGCTCCCTATTTACCTCTCTTATTGTTTCTTTTGCTGAGAAAAAACTTTTTAGTTTGAGTAAGTCCCATTTGTTGATTCTAGTTATTAACTTTTGTGCTATGGGTGTCCTATTGAGGAATTTGGAGCCCGACCCCACAGTATGTAGATCATAGCCAACTTTTTCTTCTATCAGACGGCGTGTCTCTGATTTGATATCAAGCTCCTTGATCCATTTTGAATTAACTTTTGTGCATGGCGAGAGAAAGGGATTCAATTTCATTTTGTTGCATATGGATTTCCAGTTTTCCCAGCACCATTTGTTGAAGATGCTATCCTTCCTCCATTGCATGCTTTTAGCCCCTTTATCAAATATAAGATAGTTGTAGTTTTGTGGATTGGTTTCTGTGTCCTCTATTCTGTACCATTGGTCCACCCGCCTGTTTTGGTACCAGTACCATGCTGTTTTTGTTACTATTGCTCTGTAGTATAGTTTGAAGTCTGGTATCGCTATACCGCCTGATTCACACTTCCTGCTTAGCATTGTTTTTGCTATTCTGGGTCTTTTATTTTTCCATATGAATTTCATGATTGCTTTTCTCTATTTCTACAAGAAATGCCTTTGGGATTTTGATTGGCATTGCATTAAACCTATAGAGAACTTTTGGTAATATCGCCATTTTGATGATGTTGGTTCTGCCTATCCATTGACAGGGTATATTTTTCCATCTTCTAAGATCTTCTTCTATTTCTCTCTTTAGGGTTCTGTAGTTTTCACTGTATAAGTCTTTCACCTCTTTTGTTAGGTTGATTCCCAAGTATTTTATTTTTTTTGAAGATATTGTGAATGGAGTGGTTGTCCTCATTTCCATTTCAGAGGATTTGTCGCTGATATACAGGAATGCCTTTGATTTATGCGTGTTGATTTTATATCCTGCCACTTTGCTGAATTCATTTATTAGCTCTAATAGTTTCTTTGTAGACCCTTTTGGGTCTGCTAGGTATAGAATCATATCATCTGCAAATAGTGATAATTTAAGTTCTTCTTTTCCTATTTTTATGCCTTTAATTTCTTTCGTCTGTCTAATTGCTCTGGCCAGTGTTTCGAGAACTATGTTGAATATAAGTGGAGAGAGAGGGCATCCCTGTCTTGTTCCAGATTTTAGAGGGAATGCCTTCAGTTTTTCTCCATTCAGAATGATGCTAGCCTGAGGCTTAGCATAGATTGCTTTTACAATATTGAGGTATGTTCCTGTTATCCCTAGTTTTTCTAGAGTTTTGAACATAAAGGGATGCTGTACTTTGTCGAATGCTTTTTCCGCATCTATCGAGATGATCATATGGTTCTTATTTTTAAGTCTATTGATGTGGTGAATAACATTTATTGATTTCCGTATATTGAACCAGCCTTGCATCCCAGGGATGAATCCTACTTGATCATGGTGCACAATTTTTTGATATGTTTTTGTATCCGATTCGCCAGAATTTTATTGAGGATTTTTGCATCTAGGTTCATTAGAGATATTGGTCTGTAGTTTTCTTTCTTTGAAGTGTCTTTGTCTGGTTTAGGTATCAGGGTGATGTTGGCCTCATAGAATGAATTTGGAAGTTCTCCCTCTTTTTCTATTTCCTGAAGTAGCTTGAAAAGTATTGGTATTAGTTCTTCTTTAAAGGTTTTATAAAACTCTGCTGTATACCCATCCGGTCCTGGGCTTTTCTTAGTTGGTAGTCTTTTGATGGTTTCTTCTATTTCCTCAATTGATATTGGTCTGTTTAGATTGTCTATATCCTCCTGACTCAATCTGGGCAGATCATATGACTTAAGAAATTTATCGATGCCTTCACTATCTTCTAATTTATTGGAGTATAAGGATTCAAAATAGTTTTTGATTATCTTCTGTATTTCTGAAGTGTCTGTTGTGATATTGCCTTTTTCATCCCGTATGCTAGTAATTTGAGTTCTCTCTCTTCTTCTCTTCGCGAGCATGGCTAAGGGTCTGTCGATTTTGTTTATTTTTTCAAAGAACCAACTTTTAGTTTTGTCAATTTTTTCAATTGTTTCTTTTGTTTCGATTTCATTAATTTCAGCTCTGATTTTAATTATTTCTTGCCTTCTACTTCTTTTGCTGTTGTTTTGCTCTTCTTTTTCAAGGATTTTGAGATGAAGTGTGAGATCATTTATTTGTTGGTTTTTTTCTTTTTTTAAGGAATGAACTCCAAGCAATGAATTTTCCTCTTAGAACTGCTTTCAATGTGTCCCATAGATTCCGATATGTTGTGTCTGTGTTTTCATTTATCTCTAAGAATTTTTTAATTTCCTCCTTGATGTCTTCTATAACCCATTGATCATTCAGTAACCTATTGTTCATTCTCCAAGTGATGTGTGCTTTTTTTCCTTCCTTCTTTTATCGTTGATTTTCAGTTTCATTCCATTATGATCAGATAAGATGCATGGTATTATCTCTACTCCTTTATATTGTCTAAGAGTTGCCCTGTGACATAATATATGATCTATTTTTGAGAAGGATCCATGTGCTGCTGAGAAAAAAGTGTAACTG